CATTATGGAAAATAATGACCTTTATCACAATATGCAAATTTTTTGAGAAGGACCTCTACTTTATGAAAATGTTAAAATTGATGATTTAAAAAATTTTCAACCAGTTTTGATGTTTGTATCAACAGGACGTGTTTGAGTCTCGTTTTCAGAACATTCTTCAAGAACCAGAATGCTGTTCCATGTCTCTTCAGTGTATTGATAACCAGAAAGGAAGTCTCCTAACCTCTGAGAGCTCTGAAAATAAAAGCTCCTCAGAGTCGGAGGGGTCTTCTGATATGGTTTCCATGCAGCTGACTCATCTAGAGGAGAAGGTTGGCATCACACACATACAGTGTATCTGTGTATTCACTAAGTTCTGTGAATGTTGACTACTTTCTAATTTAATGGTTGTCTTCTCAGTTGAAAGCTGTCAGCGAGCAGCTAAAGAGACTCACCCGAGAACCTTTGCTGAAACCTAAGAGGACAGAGAAGCTGAAAAAGGAAAAAAGACTGTATGAAAAGGATCTTGCTAGACTAAAAATCATATCTACAAAGTACAAACCCATTGTAGAAACTTATTTGTAAGTAAAACACAAACCTGTTGTATACCCATGTTACAATATGTGCCCAGTGTCATATTGGATGTTCTTGTGTCCAGGCATGCAGACAGCCGTAATTACATAGGTCCTCTGATATGTAAGAAAGAGTTTTCATCACTACCAATGACTTACCAGGAGAAGAAGCAGTTAAAATCTGACATCAACAAGCTGCCTGGTGACAAACTGGGTGACTTGCTGAACATTATCAGAAACAGGGAGACTTGTATACAAGAGACTTCCCCTGACAAGGTTGAAGTTGACTTTGAGCTACTCAAGACTGCCACACTGAGAACCTTACAGAGATTTGTTGCATCGTGTTTCACCAACTGCAATGGCCATGGGAAAAGTAAGTACATCTATGCTTGAATCCATCAAATACTAGCTGATTTTTTTCCAAACTGAAGTTGAAAATAAAATTTCTTCTCAGCGAAAGTACACAACTTTTTATTTTTCATAGAAAAAAACCTGAAGGCCAAAGGAGGACTGCTAACTGAGAAAATAAAGGACAATGAAAAACGATTTATTAGTTTTGAATGTGCACCTAAAAAAGAAAAGCTACTGGGTAAGACCTGGATTTAATGATCTACACATACACTTCCACATCAGTTTTATTAATTGATATTTTTTTTGTCAATAGCTAAAGTCCCAACCTCTCCTGACTGCAGCTGCCTCTCACATCTCAGAAACAGCAGCTGTTCATCCAGTTCTGGCAGCAGCAGCAGCTCTAGTTGCACAACTTCTACGTCTTCTGACAGCAGTGACTCTGACTCAGGTTAGTTGCTTTCCACAGCTTCCCCATGCCCACTTTTTCTTTCTTTAGTGTCTCTAAACTACAGTGCACATAATGTTTTTTTGTTTTTTTTTCGGTTTCATGCAAACTAAGATTTTTTCCATTCATAAGGTGATCAGTTGCATTTACACCATGTAAATCTACTGCACAGGCAAACCCCAAAACTGAAACTGAGGGGAGACATTTAGTGCGATTGCAAAATCAATGTAATTGGACAGACCTGGGCATCAAAAAACACCTGTCAGTCACATGTTTCAATACTAATGTGCATCTAAAAATTTGGTGTTTTGTTGCAAATGGTTATCTTTTAAGTTCTGTATTGGAACCAGGTGGAAACACCTGGAAATAAAAGCTAAAATGTTGGTCTCTTTTTTTCTTAGTTTAACTTTTGATGTCCAACCCAAACGTTGTCTACAGCAAAAGTAAAATAATTGGCCTCTGTTTTAATACTTTAAGAGGGAAATCTATTACTATGGTTCTGACAAGAATTTGTTTGCTACATGCCAACTGTGTCACGATTAAAGCTCTGAACTGATTCTGTGGGCTGTAGTTATCAGTACGTATGTTTTTTTAGGGTCAGAAATGAAGAACAAATCAAAATACTTCCACCAAAAAGTTCATAAGGTAAATTCTGTAAGCAAGTTTATTATGTAGGCAAAAACATGTCAGTTTGTCTATTTTTATAAGGAATGTTTTTTTTTTTAATTATCAAATTAAAGGTGGTGTATAATGCCAGAATTAAGCAGATGATGGAGGCCAAAGGTTTGACAAAGACCTCAGCCAGAACTTTGCAACCTGGAATTGCAAAAAATGATTACCTAATGCATCAACATGCAGACCTGACCTGTGATGAGCTGATTTTCTCCCCTCCAGGTAAATCTTTACCAACTTTTGTTAAACTAAATAATGCAACAAGACGGACACAACAATTGGCATGGAAACAATACCCCAACACCCACTTGTCTACTTCACCCACTTTATGTTTGAGGCAGCTGTGGCTGAGTGATTAGGGCGGTCATCTTCCAATGAGAGAGGTGGGGGTTCGATTCCACCACCATGCAGTCACATGTTGAATTGTCCCTGGGCAAGACACTGAACTCCTCATTGTGTGTCCCATCGGTGTATGAATGTGATCTAAAGCACTGATTAGTCTCTTAGAATGATTTGATCAGATTAGCTTTGTAGAGATCTAGTAGAGTGCTATATGAATGTGTGTGTGGAGGTAAATGAGGGCACAGATTGCGCTGTAAAGCACTTGAGTATCTTGATTAGATAGAAAGACACTTCAGTATATAAGTACAGTCCATTTGCTATTTACCTTTTCCCCCTGGGATCAAAAAGTATATATCTACCGTATTTTCCGGCAAACGCGTTGCTCCGCCCTATAAGTCGCATCAGTCCATATTTGTCTAATAAAGTGGAAAAATCCATAAATGTCACGTCGCTGTATACGTCGCATCTAGGAGTCGTTTGTTAAATGTTTTGGGAATAAAATAACATTTGATGATAAATGGTGGAAAATAACATAATATGGATTGGTGAATATAAAGTAGCAAATGGTAGTAACATTAACACTTAAAAACAATTATTTGTTTGCTCGAAATTATAGTAAATGTGTGTCTCAGTCTAACATTTGCTTAATAAATGTACTTTAATGGTCTAATCAGCTTTATTTTAAAAATAGTTTTGCTGCCTCGGTGCTCCGTGAACGCGCAGAGGATGAGAAAAAGGAAGGAGGAACGGCTCATTTCACTGAAATTTAACAAGAAAAGCACTAAACAATTATTTATTTGTTCGAAATTTTAGCAAAGTTGTGTCTCAGTCTAACATTTGCTTAATAAATGTACTTTAATGGTCAAATCAGCTGCATTTCGCAGAGATGGTGCAGCTGTTTTGATTTCAAGCAGAGAGCAGAATGAAGGTGGGGAGACCATGGCTGGCCAACTGAGTCATTAGAAGCTGGTGAAGATTTTCAGTCATCTAGGACATGGTAAATTCTAAAAAGTTCAAGAAAAAACAAAGTATAAAGTATAGTATAATAAATAAAGTCCAGTTGTTTTTGTCTTGAATTTTTTTTTGAATTTGTCATTATAGGCACGTTTACTTATTTCATGATATGCCGTACAACTATTAATACTCTGCTGCCATCATGTGGCTGAAAGTGGTACTGCTCTTTTTTCAGTCAGAATGAATGGAAATGGTCATATCTCAGCCAAAAGGTGGCTTATGATTATGGGAAAAAGTCCATAAATATGTCGCTTTGGCCTATAAATCGCAGGGCATGTAAATGATGCCAAAAAACTGCGACTTATAGGCCGGAAAATACGATAATTCTCGTGATTTGAAGGCTGTGCTTTCCAAGAGAATACCTACTGGGCACTTTATTTATTTTTAGTGAAATGGGTAGCACTAGGTTGAAGGGGTGACTAACAGGCAAGGTAGGAACCTCATCTTGGATGAAGAGTAAATCATTGACTGTTTTTCATTTACTAATGCACATGCGTAAAACCTGGCACCGTGTTTTTAAATACACTCAGCTTTTTCCGGAATTCAAGTTTGGCTTTCAGCTCTAGGGCTTTAGTCTTTTACACAGTGTTTTTTTGGTTTTGTTTTTGTTTATTGACTGCAAACAACTTCTTTCAGCTTTTCCCACACCAGAGGTTGCCACAGTGAGTCATCCTCTTCCATCTCACTCTGTCCACTGCATCCTCTTTCCTCACTCCAACTACCACCATGTCCTCACAAACTGCATATATAAATTTATTTTGCCTTCCTCTGTCTTTTTCCTGGCAGATGCATTTCTAACATCCTTCTACCAATATACACACTATCGCTCCTCTGGATATTCCCAAACCATCTCAGTCTCGCCTCTCTAACTTTATCTCCCAGTTTTACATGTGCTGTACCTCTGATTTCATTCATAATCTTATCCATCCTTGTAACTCCTAAGGAGGACTTCATCTTCATTTCTGCCACTTGCAGTTTTTTCTCCAGTCTTTTTGTCAATGCCATGGTCTCCAGACCATACAACATAGCTGGTCTCATAAATGTCTTGTAAACTTTTCCTTTGATCTTTGCTGACACCCTTTTGTTGCAAATCACTCCTGAAACTTTTCTCCATCTTGCCTGGACTCTCTTTTTCACCTCTTTACCACATGCTATTTTCCTGGACAGTTGATCCTAAATATTTGAAGTCTTGCACCGTTGTGACCTCTGCTCTTTGTTACCTCACTGTTCCAGCAGCCTCCCTCTCATTCACACACATGTACCGTCTTAAGCCCCCAGTATACTTGCCCGTACGTCCATACGCAGAGGTACGCACTAGAGGATGACATTTTTTTCGGGAGTACCGCCGGTCACGTGATTCCGGCCGGATTCTGGCGGGACCGGAGTCAACCTCATTATAACTCATGTGACCGGGATGTGACCGGACTGAAAGCTAGGTAAGAAGTAACTGTCTGTCTATTAAACTCACAGAACAGGCAGGAAAATGTCAAATAACCCTGAACTTCATGAGAGTTGTGTTGGTGCTGTGCTGTTTTAAACTTTAGTCTCAGCTGTGAGGAGCTGCGGGGAGTCGGACTTTGTTTACCGTCAGTAAATGAACAGACTTAAACTGTGCATTTTTCTCCACCTTGTCCCTTTTAATTTAAAAATCATACTCTGCTTTGTTATGGGGGTTTTTAGATTAAAATCTTCATTATCTGTTACTGTTTGTAATGTAAAACAAAACCCCGAACTCTTCCTGGTTAAAGTGCACGCATTCTCCGGTAAAAATATCCCAGTTTTTATATGAAAGGCTGGTTTCATATACATTATAATAACTTATTGTAGGGGGGACATATTGGTGCGAGGTCTGTGGGTCCTTCCCCATAACTTTTTTAATAAAGTACCTGCCATTTCCTGCATTCTGGTGTATTTTAACAGGTTTTAAAACATCTATGTTTACCTACATAAGTAAATACTTTATTCAATAACTGTTTTATAAAGCATGGCACAATAAGTAGCACTAAGCTTTTTGTTTGTCTTTAATTTAATTTAATTTTCTCTACCTAACACAGTAAGCTGTTAACTCTGGAAGCAAACTGTTAAACAGCTTTGGACACAAAGACCCTTGTCACACACTTCAAAAGAGCAGGTAAGATGCATAAAATCTTGTCATCTCTGCCTGGTGAGGCTGATTTAAATAATTATAAAATATGATAAGTGAAATAAATAAAGAAAAATTGAGCTACTGTAATTTATAATTGCAAATGTCACATTTTCTTGACTTAATTTCAATTGTAAATCTCTTGTTTTTGATAAAATGTTTTTTTCAAAAAGAAAGGCCAACAGATTGTAATTTGTAGTCATGGTGACCCTATTTTGACTTGTGCACTGTCTTCTTTCACTTTAGGTTACTGAAGGTGCTGGACCGGTCACTGAAGCTGTGGAGATGAGGTGGAACACCAGACTTGCAATGATCCAGTCTGTAAATGATGCTCTGAAGTCTGGTAAGATGCACGACATCATGCTTCGCCCAAACGAGCTCGTTACCTTGACCGCATAGACTGAACTTCTTGAGGACGTCGTCCATTGTATAATAATGCCTTTAAACATTTTTATTTGTTCTCTTGCTTGGTACATTATTTTTCTTTTTTTGTTTATTTATTTAAACAATTTAAAACATGACGGTAATGTCACTGTTTAAAGGAAACAATTGCTCAATAAATTAGTAAAATGCAACTTGTTATGTTTGGGTTCTTTCATCTAAGGTAGACATGGTGTGACCCATGTATTGGTTTTGATTTTTTTGTTTTTACTGTAACTGACCTTGAAAAGAGCCAGAAACATGGACTCAGCAGTTGATCCTCTGTAAAAAAAAATTATAGGGACCACAGGCCATGTATAATTTGTTTTATGATATTTAGTGAAGGTGTTTGTTTGGATTAAGGAAATAAATGTCTCTATTTCACCACAGATGAGCTGTTCCTGTTCAAATTCAAATTCAAAAATACTTATTACAATACTTGTTACCAGGAGTGGGACAGGACAGGATTAATTTTTTAAACTCTGGACCAGGATTGGGACAGGACAGGATTTTTTCTGTGGGACCAGGACAGGAGTGAAAATCTACTCCTGTGTCATCCTCTAGTACGCACGTACAAACCGGATTCCAAAAAAGTTGGGACACTAAACAAATTGTGAATAAAAACTGAATGCAATGATGTGGAGATGGCAAATGTCAATATTTTATTTGTAATATAACATAGAAGACAGATCAAAAGTTTAATCTGAGTAAATGTAACATTTTAAAGGAAAAATATGTTAATTCAAAATTTCAGTGTCAACAAATCCCAAAAAAGTTGGGACAAGTAGCAATAAGTGGCTGGCAAAAGGAAATTGAGCACATAACGAACAGCTGGAAGACCAATTAACACTAATTAGGTCAATTTACAACATGATTGGGTATAAAAAGAGCTTCTCTTAGTGTCAGTGTCTCTCAGAAGCCAAGATGGTAAGAGGATCACCAATTCCACCATTGTTGCGCAGAAAGATAGTGCAGCAATACCAGAATGGTGTTACCCAGTGTAAAATAGCAAAGACTTTTAAGTTATCATCATCAACCGTGCATAACGTCATCAAAATATTCAGAGAATCTGGAACAATCGCTGTGCGTAAGGGTCAAGGCCGTAACACTCTACTGGATGCTCGTGATCTCCGGGCCCTTAAACGTCACTGCACCTCAAATAGGAATGCCACTGT